CCTGGGAGTCCCACAGGGATCTGAATTCGACCCCTCTCCATGGTCCCAGCACCTAACACAGGTCTAGTAAGCCTGGTTTGAAGAAATGCACAGACGAAAAACATGAATTAACTGAGCAGAACGCTCAGCCAGAACACCACCAGCGGCAGACACTTTTAGCACCTTGGAGAGCTCCCGCAAGGCAAGGAGGACTCCCTGTGCTGCCTCCCTGAGGACAGGATTCCAGACTCCCTGCCCAGCACTAGGTCTGACTCCTGAAGGTATGCAGGCTCTCAGATACCGTACTTTCTTCTTCCTCAGACACTTCCAGGGCTGGGAGGAAAGGGCGGTGGCCCCTCACTTTGTAGGGAAGCCCCTACTTTGCTGAACAGCTGAGGGTGAGAAGTTTCTTTTACACATATGCATGAACCAATCTCTTGTAGTTCCAATGCTTGGTCTTTGTGACCCCTGCAACCAACCTATGAAATAGGTGCAACCATTACCATGGGTCAGGTGGGGAGACTGAGACCCAAGACCTCAAGGGAGTGAGGCGCACCCACAGATGCTTTCTAGGGAGAACAAAATGACTCCACTATGTCTGTCTTTTTGCAGGCTGAGGACCCTCGACTCCATATTTGTGCAGCTTTTGCAGGGCCTTAGCTTCCATCCCCCTCCATCCTGGCTGCCTCTCTGGTGCTTGCCCTCTGACTGTGCAGGCCCAGAGGGATGCCTATACTTAGTTTGTTAAAAGTCTGAAATGAGCTTCTCTTTTTCACTGGCTTCTCACAATAACTTTCTTATAAGGCAAACTGGCTCTCTGGCAGTTAAATTCTAGGGCTGATTCTCACAGGCCAAGGCTGGTGCCACCCCACCTGCTCTAAGCAGCTTGAGACAGAGCAGCGATTCCCAAACTTTCTGAACAAGACAAGTCTCCTGGGGCATCCGGTAAAGTGCAGATGCATGGGCACCCCCAAGAGTCTGGTTCAGCAGGTGCCCAGGGATCTGTATTCCTAACCCATGGTACCAGGTGATTCTTATAATTGATTGGAGTGGTTGGGGGCAGGCAGGCAGAACAGCATGTTCTTGGCAAAGCAGACAGCCTATGCAAAGGACTAGGGCATGAGAGAAAGTAGTAAGATTAAGAAATCCCACTGATGTCTCCCACAACACTGAGAATAAAGTCTTCATGCCTTTTGCCATGATTTGTAGCCCTACAGCCCCGTTGCCTCTCTACCCCCTGGCCTAGCCACTGTTTCCTGACTCACTAGCCCAGACACAGTGGTGTCTGTCAGCCTGGGAAATGGGCCTGCATGTTCATTGTCCCTCTGCTTGAAATGCTCTCTCTCTGATTTTGCCATGGCTGATTCCTCCCCACCTTGCTCATTTCAGTTTAAATGTCATCTCTGCGCAGAGGCCACCCTGGCAACCCCTCCAACTGGTGGTCCCCATTCTTCTCTAGAATCATACCGTTCGTCTCTTTTGCAGCCTCAATAATTATGGAGAATTATCTTGTTAATATGTGTTCCTTGAGGCCAGGGCCTTTGTTTTGTTCATGGCTAGATTCTTAGTGGCCAAATCAGCACCCAACACATGTAGCAACAGGCAGTGAGATATTTGTGGAATGGATTAAGAGTTCTGTGTGGAAGGAGTGGGAAAGGGGCAGGTCTATGTGGGACATGGGGAGCAGAAGCCAGAGCATGGATGCTCAGATTGGTCCTGTCAACCTCCATCCACCTCTGTCCCAGGAAGATGAGCTAAAGTGCCCCATGGTGGCCCTGACTGGGTATTACCTGCTTGGTCATTTAGCTGGTTATAGCTCAGGTCCAGGGACTTCAGGCCTGTGTGGGCCAGCAGGAGTTCAGCAAGGTACTGGGCTGCCTGCTCCTCCAGATTGTTCCCTGCCAGATGTACCTTCTGAATGGCTGGGTTTGCCATGAGAGCAGCACAGATGACCTGGGCTCCCACGGCTCCCAGCTGGTTCTCCGACAGGTCCATATCTGGGGGTTGGCACCACTCCTCAGTCAGTGGGATTCAAAGCCAGGCACCATCCTCCTCCACCCTCCTTCATCCCCCAAACTTCCAGGCCTGAGGCAACAGAAGGGGCTTTGTAGCCAAACTGTCCTGGGGTGCATGGTGACTCTGGTACCCATCAGCTGAGTTCCCTCAGGCCCCAGGCAGCTTCCCTGATGCCCGTCTGCACCCGATGTGTCCATGAGCTTCTTTGTCAAGGGGCTAAAATCACCTACTTCCTGTTGCTATGGAGAATGGCTGTAATGGAGATGCAGTTGCCCTGTTGATCATTAGTGCCTGGCAGCAATACAACCCACTCACAGGAGCTTTCACTGCCACATTTCTGGGGACTGACAATAATAGTCAAGGTGGCCATTCTCAGAGCATTTATGTGGGCCAGCTACTCAGAGCATTTATGTGGCCACACAGAGCTTCACTGATTCTCATCACATCCCCAAAGTCTAAGAGGTATTGTTGTGCCATTTCACAGATTGGAAACTGAGGCTCAACAAGGTTGAGCTTCTCGCCCGGGTCACTCCACTCATTAATGACAGAGGCAGCATTTGGATACAGGCCCACCAAACACCCACCCAACCCTCCCTCCTCTCACTCTGCCCAGTCCCCACCTACGTGTCAAAGGACTCTCCCACCTGCATTCAGGCATGGCGAGGCCACCATATGAAGAGTGTGCTGGCTAGGGGAGGAGGTGAGTGGGTGGGGTGGGGTTGGTCAGGAAAGGAGTGGCATCCAGCATTGGGTGTACCACAGAGGGTCTAACTACACCCTTGTGAGGAGATCCCTCCTCAGCAACACCAGCAGATCCCAGGTGAGAAGGTCTGGCTAGGGGGGCACACCCCTCAGGAAAGGAAGGACTCAAGTCTGCCCATCTGCTTTAGGCTCAGCACCTACCACAGATGCTGCTGCTTTTGCTCAGGGCATGTGCCAGAGCCTCCGCGCCAGCCCCACAGAGCCCGTTGTCCCGAAGGTCCAGCCGCTTGACATAGGGATTGGAGGTTAGTCCAGAAGCCAGAGCCCAGGCCCCCTAGGACAGAGAGGGTCCTGAAGGGCCTGATCCTTCCTAGGGCTGAAGGCCCCAGACACAGATAGCTACTACCCTGGCTCATGTTGCCAGGGCTCAGCCCACTCGGTTCCTTCCAGCGGGAAGGCCATCCATCCCTTTCCCACATGCCCAGGGGACACCTGCTTCTCATTCTAGGCTCCATCCAGATCTCACCTCCTGAAGCCTTTCCTGACCCCCCAGCAGGTTAGGTGCGCGCTGCAGTCTCCCCAGCCCTATACTAAACCCTGTCATAGCTCTGACCCCACCCATCACCCAGATGTGGGGGTGGGACATGCCAGGGAGTGGCATGAGATGGGCTCAGGAAGGAGGCTACACCCATGGCTGCTGCCTCCCAGGCCCTCTCCCTCCAAGCCTGGCTCCAGAGTCCCTCCAGGGGTACCTGGGGCCCCAGCCCACGGTGCCTCAGGTTCAGCTCCGGGGCTCTCCCTTGGCGCAGAAAGCAGGAAGCAGGCACAACACCATGGGCCCGGCAGGACCTCAGGTAGAGGGTGTTCTTGACCAGTTCCTCATGCCCATGGGTGCCTAATAGGAGACAGAGAAGAATGTGGATCCCTCTTCAGGCACAGCCAGCCCTCTTCCAAGGGTTCCCCTGTCCTCTGTCACTACCCAGCATTTCACTCTGCAAGTGTCTTCTAATGATGGAACTTCTGACGCTCCCGGGAGCATTGCAGGAAGGGCACGCGGCTAGAGCTGCCGCCACCGGGTGCGCGGAAGGTGTCCCATGAAGGGGTGCACCGCCTGCTCTGCTGGAAAGGGGCCCCTGTCCACTCGATCCCAGCCTGTCCCCGCCACTCCTGCGGAAGAAGCCCCAAAGGTGAGGAGACCAGCCTGGAATCCCCTCCCCGGGGCACCTTCCGTCTCCAGGTAGGAGTCCGAATCTGTGTCCGAACCCTCCTCAGCCTCCGGGACCCCAGCGGCCGCCTCTTGCTCCTGCCGTCCATTCTCCCCAGACTTCTCGCGGGGACCCCTCACAGTTACGTCCATTTTGCATTTGCCTGCACCGAGGCAGGCGTGCGCGCCGCGACCCCCAGAGCCAGGGAATTTGGGCGGGCCCTCCAGCTCCATCGCCCAATCGCTCGTGGTGTACGGCGGACAGGCGTCTGCGGCAGCAAATAGAGACGGGCGCGGTCACCCCGGCAACCCGGTGTTGTTGGCCGTCGCCAAAACCGCCGCTGGCCGGCGCTGACCTTGAGTCGGCCACTGGCTAGGCGGACGCGAGCGCGCCCCGGGCCAGGCGCAAGGCTGGGAGCTTTGCGGGCGCAGGTTCTCCCTGTCGTCTCATCGCCCCCCTTCCCACGGACTGGGGGAGATGCCTGCCTCTGGGCTTTTAGGCCCTGCGCTGGCGGCATGTGGGCAGCTTTGGGAGGGCATCACACAGGAAGGCAGAGCCTGGGGAACTTGCAGAGCCTGGCCACCCTCCTCTCAGGTGCCGGAGTCACGGCTCTCTGTGGGTCCCAGTTCTCCCATGCTCTAGGGTCGTATATGCAGCTTCCTCCACCAGGAACATTCCTCCACAACTTTGTTGACTTCAGAATCTTCCAGTGTGAGTTCATAGGTCACTTCTTTTTGAAGCTTTCCTTGGCCCTTCCTCTATTCCTGCAGCCCTCAGGCCACCCTCTCACAGTACCCATAATACCTATCATCTCCTCATCACCCAAGGAAGTGAGGCCAGAGAGCAGGGGACAAGGGCTGCTCCTCTGTGTGTGCCCAGGGTCCGACAGAGGGAGTCTGGAGAGGCCCAGGGCCGCTGGGGCTTGGGACTGAGCCCAGGACTGGGGTGGGGGTGGGGGTGGAGGCTGGATCCTGCCAGGAGTGGATCCTGTCCCTTTAATAGCTGCTGGCCAGGTCCTCCTTGGTCTCCTGCTTTATCTCCTGTTCAGCTGTGACTGCAGCTGCTCTGCTGACTCATGTGCCCCAGCAGCCAGCAGGAGCTGGGAACATGGGCTCCCCAGGGGTCTTGGCAGGCTGGGGGCTTCTGGATTATAAGACTGAGAAGTATGTGATGACCAGGAACTGGCGGGTGGGCGTCCTGCAGAGGCTGCTACAGCTTGGGGCCATGGTCTACATGGTGGGGTAAGAGAACGGCTCCTGGACACGTTGGCCGGAGGGACCATGACCGGTCCTGCTGGGCGGAGGGTTAAGGGTTTGGCTCTTCGGGGGCTGGGCTGATGGTAGTGGAGGCGGGGGCAGGTTGGAGCAGGGTAGTGTGTTGGCAGAGGGAAGCATCTGTGTCTGTATAGTTGCCAGTGGGTGTAAGAGCAAGCCGTGTGCTTGTGTCCTCCTGTGTGTCCACCTGCCTCTTTCCCTGGGCCTTGTCCCTAACCCCATGTTGGGCTTTGGGCACAGAGCAGGATGGACTCCACCCTTGCTCAGGAGGCCCTGGGCAGCAGGATGTAGTCCCTGACACTTGTGAGAGCTAGAACGCTAAGGTCCCCGATAGAGACCACCAGTTCTGGCTGAGTCAGGGGAGTCTTTAAGGAGAAAGCTGGGTCTAGCTGGGGCACGGGGAGGATGTTGGCTGCTGAAGGAGGTGATAGTGGGTATCTCCAAGCCCATGGATACCTAATAGGAGACACCCATGTGGGCACTGGCTCTCTGATGCATGGCCTGTGCTTCTGGCCTGTGCAGGGTGTTTGGGGGGATGAGAATGGAGAGGAGGCAGGGGACCTGAGTGGTGTACTGGGAGCCTACAGGTGTGAGGGAGAGAGGCTGAGAAAGTAGGGCGCAGCTCCACCACTGCTCACATTGTGCCAGGGACACACCATACTGCCCATTGCCTCCTCCCCAGGTGGGCCCTCGTCGCCAAGAAAGGCTACCAGGAACATGACCTGGACCCCCAGATATCTGTTATCACCAAACTCAAAGGGGTTTCTGTGACCCAGATCAAGGAGCTGGGGAATCGACTGTGGGATGTGGCTGACTTCGTGAAGCCGGCACAGGTGGGTGCTCCAGTGCTGTCTCCAGGTGACACCTCTGATACCACTGTTGCAGCAAGCATGTGCAAGAGAGGCATGTGATGCCAGACAGGGGTGGGGGCTGGCACTGTCACAGGGCTGGGCTTGGGAAGGGCCTTACAGAGGAGTGGCACCTGGACAGGACTATTGGGGCTGTGTAAGAGGTTTCCAGGTGACTGAGAGGAGTGGCCAGGAAGCCAGGCCAAGGAACTACATTTACAAAGGCTGCATCTGGAAAAGTGGAGTGTCTGGGAACTTGACATTGAGCTTGAGCTTGAGGGTGGGGGTGGGAGGGGCATAGAGGGG